GAATTCGGAGGAAGAATAAACTCGAGGCGCCTGCTGCATCTGAGGGTGAGTTTACGAAGGTGCTTCCCCTGAGAAAGCCAACGCCCGCAATTGGCTTTCTGTTGCCGCATGTTCCCCACACCCCTGCCTGCTGACACTGGCCAGGGGTCAAGGTCACAGAGGGCAAGGGGCCTGCCCAGGCGCTCAGACTGCCTCCTGCTCCTCCTACAACCCCCGCGCCAACTCAAGGGTCCTTCGTCACAGAGGGTGGCCTCCTCTCCGGTTCCTGAGTGAGCCACGCTCAGCACCAGGGCCTCTGACGGGCTGTCCGCTTGCGGGATGGGCTCCTGGCTCCTCGGCTCCTTGCAGCCGCCTTCTCTTCATTGTCACCGCCACCGCCCTGGCCACCTCTCCCATCTCCGCAGGTCCCTCCGTCCTGTGCTAGGACCCTGCGCCTCTCACAGTTACAACCGATGATCTGTGTGACCACGTCTGCTCCCGGCGTGGCCCAGTGCCCCGAGGACGCGGCGGTCCTCCCGGCCTCTCCCTGTGCCGCACCCTGTGCCGGGCCGAGCGCTTCTCCGTGTGACCGGTTCTCCAAATGACCACCGAGAGCCAAGCTTCTCCAGAGACGGTCTGGAAAGTGCACTAGGAAGGAGTTTGCCTTTCAGCCCGGGCATCACCAATCCCGTCCTCACGGCGACAGTGTCTCTTGTCGTTTGAATTTGGGGTGCCACGCTCGCCCGCAGCGTCGAGGGTTTCCATAAATATTGCAGTGAGTGGCTACCTTTCAGTGTATGAACCCCCACGCTGGTCGAGTCTCAGTTCCTGTAGCTCACGGGGTCTCGCCTGTTTTCTCGCACGGAAGGGAGGGAGGCAGGCCATTTCCACACGGTTGGCCGCACACGGTAAGACCAAGACTGCGCTCCATGCCACAGCGGCCAAGACCTTTTCGGGACAGCGTGGTCTGTGCCTCCACGGCAATTTACGTCAGTTCCACGGGAGTCGTGGATCATGACCAAAAGGTGCAACTGAGTCACCGCAAGGGGGTCGCTATTTGCAGAAAGAATGCAGGTCGCGTGCCTTGCAGGGCGAGGAGAATGTGTGCCACCATTCAGGGCCCAGGAAGCCCTCAGAGCCCCCACATTTCTCTGCAGACGGTGGCCTTCCCCCGTGCAAGCGAAATCGTCCGGATGCGTGGACGCAATGCGAAGGCAGAGCTCTCGGTGGGTGGAAGGACAGGCGGGAGCATGCCCGAAAGTGCAGGGTCTGGGCTTCGTGGGGGCACCACGGGGGGCATGTGCAGACCCATGTGTGAAAACCTTCCCGCACAACACCCATAATTCTACCCATAATTCCACCACCTCCCGTCCTGCAAAAGACAGCAAATGTTCATGACAACAAGGACTGGTGCCCTGCTCTGAAAACACACGGAAGAGATGGGCACACCCATCTTTCATACAATCCCAACACGACACACGAGAAAGATCTAAGGGTCCAAGTCCAGAACGGCGGTCATGTCGAAGCAGGCCCGGGGGGTGGGGGCCGGGGGGTGGGAAGAGAATGGGCTACGGACGCGGTGGCCAGCTCACGGAAAAGAACGGTTGGCTGGTCAACAACTCGGAGTCCTGGCCAATTGACGCACCGGTACATTCATGACTTGCTCTTTTTTTTTTTTTTTAATCCTCACCCGACGGTATTTTTCCATTGATTTTCAGAGAGAGTGAAGAGAGAGGGAAAGACAGAGAAACATTGATGTGAGAAACACATCAATTGGCTGCCTCCTGCATGCATCCCGACTCGGGCCCAGGGCCGGGGAGGAGCCTACAACCGAGGTTCGTGCCCTTGATTGGAGTCAAGCCCGGACCCTTTGGTCCACAGGCGGACACAGTATCCACTGAGCCACACCCGCCGGGGCATGATTTGCTCTTTATAAAGAACTGGTCTTGGTGGTTGCCTTCGCGCTGTGTAAAAACGGTGCCGGGCATAGTAAGTGCTCAGTAAACTTGCTGAGTAAACCCTGCCGTGTGCTCAGTGCTGCCTCACACACACTCCAGTGGGTCGCTCCCGACCTCTGCGCTCCACGCGGGCCCGGCGTGTGCGGAGGCAGGACGGGCCTCACCCTCCGGTGTTCCCAGCCCCCGGGTGGATCCGAGGGCCCCGCGTGCTCCGAGGTTTGTTTTCAGAACGATGGGCTGCCAAGTTCAGCCCCGTAACTCAACCCTCTGAAAACAGGCACATCCACCAGGAACAGCCCCATCCCAATCTGGGACCGAGAAATCCCAGCCGAAGAAACACAGAATTCTCTTTTCCCTGGCCGGGTTTCCTGCACGCCATTTGCTTGTCTTGGATAATTGGTCGGAACTTTACACCAGCCTTCAAAAGCGGAGAATCGGGACCCACCTCACCCAGCGACCATAAGCCTTGTTGACAGGACGTAAGACTAAGTACCGAGGAGACGCAAGAGGTACTGGAGAACGAGGCTGCGGTTCTAACGGGCCTCCCGCGGCCTTGAGGTGGGACTGAGTCCAGGTAGAGACCTGGAGCAGCTTTGCAGCCGGGGGAGGCCAGGGGGCCTGGGGGAGGCTCAGGCCCTGGAGCCGTCCCTTGACCTAGGGCCCCATCCACTGGTCACTGACCCTTGTTTTCTGACTAAATGCCAAAGGTTGTCGTGGAAAAGAAATGAAATAGAAACGTGCGGCAGCATTCAGTGTAGCACAGCACCGGGCACTTCAGAATCACCCGGGACGCAGTCAGGTGAGCGAGCCGAGTCCCTCCGGGCAGTGCGTCTGAGCTGGGACACAGGGGGCCGAGGAAGGGGCACGGAGGGGGCTGAGGCCACCCCAGCCCAGACTCACTTTCCTTCTCTGACAGCGATGAGGCTGGGGCAGACGGTTCCTGTGGGAACACTCCGAGCAAACATTATTGATTCAAGGATAATAAAAACTCGCCACCATCTCAAGACGGGCCTGCACGTGTCTGATATGTTTGTGGGGTTCCTCCTGCGTTGGGGGGCGGCAGCTCCCGGGAGCCGGGGGCAGGAACTCTCAGGGGTCTTAGAAGACCCACACTCCTCCTCCATTGTGACGGGTGGGCTTGCTTCTATGACAGCGTGGGCACTGCCCGTGGCCCCGCCTGGGAGAGGCTGAGGAAGATCAGGAGCGGCTCCAGGCGTGGAGAGCTCAGGAGGCGATGGGGAGATGAGGGAGCCCACCTCAGCCCCCCCAGTTCCTGCAGGACATGGCCAAAGGGAGACGCTTCAACCCGCCCTTAGACAAGGACGGAAGATGGGTGAGGAAGAGGGGCCCTGTCTTACCTCTCTCAGGCCTCGTGGGCGTGGTCAGGGCACAGACCCGAGTCCCGGTCCCGCTTCTGCTGCTTACTGTGGCCTGACTTGGTAACTTACTTCACCAGCCTCAGTTTCTCCATCTATGAAATGGGAACCCGGTAGCACCTCCTCCTCACACCCCGGGTGCTGTCTGTCTCCTCTGCTAGAATATAAGCTTCGTGGGCGCTGGGACCTTGGTCTCTCTTATTCTCTGACTGCATCCCGAGTGCTGAGGGTGGGATCTGTGCCAGGAGGGGCTCAGAAGACATCTGTCCGGGGAATCACCATCACACTGGGACCCTCTAAGCACATTCCCTGGGCCTCCTGTCTGGTCCCCTTCGCCCCGCCGGGCTGTGAAATGGGAAGAGGCCAGAAATGCACCATTTCCCCATCTCGGTCATTAGTAAACGTCACCTTTTCACGCTCTTCCTCGGACCTCTCTCTCTCTCATGTCACTTGCAGAGTCTGGTGGGCTTGTCCCTCTCCTGCCATCTCCGAGAAGCGTACCCCAACCTCTGCGTTCCGTGCCAGCCCCGTCAGCATCCACACACACACACACACACACACACACGCTTTCACGCACCCCTGCTTCAATGCAGAAAGACTTGCCGAGGGGAAATGGGAAACAGTGCGAGCTACGTCACACTAATCCGTGATGACGAGAAAAAAGCGTAGGCTTCTCAGTCTAAGTAGCGTCCCTCTTTCTAAAACCCGCAGGATCAGTTAGGATTGTGTTGGACTGGATGCTATGAAAAGCCGCAGCGACAGTGTTAACCAAATAGGGGTTTGTGTCTCTCGAGTAAAAGTAAGTCCAGAAGTTGGCGGTTGAGGGCTGGTACCCTGCTCCAGGGAGTCGCCAGAGGCCCCGCAGTTTCTGGCCTTCTGTTCTGACATCTTTGTGTGAGGCTGTGGGACTCAGGTGTGCAATGAGGGGCAGGTCAAAGGGCAGCAGACAGAAGGCACCTGTCAGCCGTGTCTGCCCTCCTCCGAGGTGACACTGTCCCTGCACAGCCTCCGGAGGGCCTGGGTGCGTGATGGCGTCAGGTTTGTGTGGCCGCTTCACTGCCCTCGATCCCCATTCCCACTCTCCCGGGAGCCCCACCCCGCAGACTTCTGCTCTGTCTCATGGGGTCACATGGCCATTTGGCTGCAAAGGAGTTTGGGGAGGGATTTTTCTTTTAACATATATTTTGATTGATTTCAGAGAGGAAGGGAGAGGGAGAGAGACAGAAACATCAATGATGAGAGAGAACCACTGATCGGCTGCCTCCTGCAGGCCCCACACTGGGGATCGAGCCCACAACCCCGGCCTGTGCCCTGACGGGGAATCGAACCGTGACCTCCTGGTTCATAGGTCGACGCTCAACCCCTGAGCGCCGCTGGCCGGGCAGGGGAGGTATTTTTAACCGGCCACACTGCCACCCCAAACCGAGCCAGGCTTCTGTCACCAGGGAGGAAGCGAGAATGAAGGGCTCATCTCCCACTGCAACCCCAGGAATGCGCCCAGGACCCCGTCTCAGCCGCACAGACGGTGTCTCCCTGAGCCCATCTGCTTTGAGCCTTTGGTGGGGGCCTTTCTCCTGCCAGCACCTCGGAGCATAGGGAATCCTGCTGACCCTGAAGTTTCCCCAAGTGACTGTGGACGAGTTGGGAAAATGAGAGACATTCTTGGCTTCCGGCCGGTGGCCCGTTGGAGAGGATAGTGATGGCCAGGGTAGAAGTGACCTTCGCTTTGCAGTTGACCTTGCTGGGGGCAGTCTGGCCGCTGCCAGGTGGGAAAGGCCTCCCACACCGTCACCTTCCTGTTTAGTATTTCAGTCCCTGAGAGGCTGGATGCAGCAACAGCTTCACCGCCAACGAGCTAAAGGCGCTATTTCACGGTTACCCCAGCGAACAGAGGGTTTATTTCACAGCTGCCGGGGTATAGCCATTAAGTACATATTTTAAAAGAGTGAAATTAAAATGCTAGAGCCATTTTTTACAGCGATTTAGCCCACAGACTCGCAGAATGCAAATGAACTCACATGGGCTGTCACGTAGGCGGGTGAAGGATCGTTGCTGACGTGGGAAGGGCACCCACTGGGGGGAGGGGCCGCGGTGTTGGGACAGGGAGGCTGATGGGCCAGACTGGAGGAGGCCAGGGCAGGCCTCTGGGTTTGGGGGTCCTTTGTATGACTTATATTTACTCTAAACACATTGAAACCTATTACACCTCAGTTACTTTGGGTTACTCTCTCCTTCCCCTTCCTGTCACTCCTCCCGCCCCCCACCTCCCCAGGTAACAATATTTACAACCAAGTGCTCATCTGATCAGATACAAGCATCTCTACCTGCAGAGGCAACTCAGATTGCTGCCTCCCAAGGTCACGTCCAGGGGCTGATCGATGAGGGCACACAAAGGCCCTGTCCCCTCGCCCCAACTCAGGGGAATTCTGAGAAGCCGACCACATCCAGAGCGCTCTGCGGGGCTGGCAGGGGTGTGTTGGGTCAGGACCACCTCCCCTGCCCAGTCCTGTTTCCCTCCCTCCCTTTCCTACGGGATAGGAAGGCCCTTCCCCCAATCACCTTCCCACTCTCACCTGGGGCCCTTCACGCCTCGGCTTCCCCGTGTCTGAGGGTCCCCCTCATGCCTGCAGGGGGCTGGCTCCCCCTGTGAACATGGGCTGGGTCTTGTTCCCAACTACAGGGAGCACCCTGAGCAGAAAGGTCTCACATTACACATGCGTGTTTCTTGGAGTTCAAGGGCTCAGCCTCGCAGGGCCGCACCCTCGCACCCAGCCGGCCGGCCGCAGGAATCTTTCCCGGCTCCTGCGCAGCAGGGCGGCCCCTGAAACTGGAAACAACCGTCAGCGATGGCTTTGGGCCATGGACAGTATTTTTTGTCTTGGAAAGAACACTTCAAACCACGCCGTTCCCATCCCATGCCAGAAGCACCCGAATTGCCTTTTAATCACTTCACGGAGGAAGCCCTGCTGCTTGGCCCAGGCATTCCGAGGTGCCTGGTTTCATTTTATTTTCTGTTATTTTATTTTTATTATTTTAAGATTGATTTTAGAGAGAGGAAGGGAGAGGGAGAGATAGAGACATCGGTGATCAGAGAGAATCATGGATGGGCTGCCTCCTGCACACCCCCTACTGGGGATCGAGCCGGCAACCCGGGCCTGTGCCCGTGACTGGAATCGAACTGTGACCTCCTGGTTCAGAGGTCAATGCTCAACCCCTGAGCCCCGCCGGCCGGGCAGAGGTGCCTGCTTTAATCGAGGCGCATGCTGTCTCCTAGTTCCCTCACATTGGAGTGACGCAGAAGACCCCGGAGTCCCTCACCAGCGTGATGCTCAAAGAGCCCCACAACCCTCGTTTCTCCCGGCAAATAGAAGAGAAGCTGCCGCCCATCTACAAAGCCCGGGAGAAGGTGCGTCCGGCCCGCTGGCCGTGGCTCTGGGGGCCGGGTAATTCCCCTCGGCAGGACCTGCTCACTGTCCATGCCTGGACTCCTGAATGCTGGTAGCCTCCCACCTGGTCCCCTGGTCCCTGGGCACCCGGGTCCTGTCTGCAAGGAACGACTACCTTCCGGTCCAGACAATCACGTTAGGCGGGTCTGTGGACCTTTGGTTCCAACTCCCCGTTCGTTAACACGCGTGTCCTGCCTCCCCGGCCAGTCCCTGAGCAGCTCGGGGCGTGGAGGGGCCGGCAGGAGCAGTGGCTTGGATGGCACACCTGGCGGGCCCACCTGCCCCAGGGCCCAGAAGGCCTCAAAGCTCCTTCCCCGCTCTCGGGTCCACGAGCGAGCTGTCATCTTTTTCTTCTCGCCTCCAAAGAAGGGGTTTGAGAGGGAGTTATAATGATTAGCAATCAGGGGTGAGTGTCAAAGCCTTGAGCTGACGTGCGCGCCTCTGAGCTCACCCTCCTGGGCTGGTTCCATCCCTGGCGGTGGGTTCATCTTTTAAAAAAAATATCTTTTTATTGATTTCAGAGAGGAAGGCAGAGGGAGAGAGAGACAGAAGCATCTACGGTGAGAAGGACTCATGGACCGGCTGCCTCCTGCACGCCCCACACTGGGGATCGGGCCTGTAACCTGGGCCTGTGCCCTGACTGGGAATTGAACTGCCACCTGGTGGTTCATAGGTTGATGCTCAACCACTGAGCCAGGCCGCTGGCAGGTGGCTTCATTCTTACTCGGTGTCACCTGGCCTCCCGGCTGCCTCGCGCCACTGTAGGCGGTCCCCAGAGCAGGCTGGGGCCTGACGTGCGCCTCTCTCCGCTCCTTTGCCTTCCCAGCAAGCGACCCACAACAACTTCCCCTTCTCCGTACACGACAACCGGCACAGCCTCCGGAGTTCCGGATTCTACGTTGACTCCGTGAGTATCCCCTCCTTGTCCCTCCCCGAAGGGGCAGCGGCCTCAGGGCTCCTGATGTCCCGAGATGTGCTGAGCACAGAGCACTAACCTCAGCATGGGAACAGGGTCATTATAAAGCCTCGTAAGAGGCCACAGAAAAACAAATTCGCAAAACTCTCCAAGTCCCACACTGGCCTCTCTCTCTCTCTGGGTCTCCATTTTTTTCTCCTTTTCTCCCTCCTTCCCTCCTCCCTTCCACCCTCTCTTCCTTTTTGTGGATTCTTAAACTCTCAATATATTTCATAGTCACATTTTTAGCAAGTCATTTTTTAAAATATATTTTTATTGATGTCAGAGAGGAAGGGAGAGGGAGAGAGGGATAGAAACATCCATGATGAGAGAGAATCATGGATCAGCTGCCTCCTGCACGCGTCCTACTGGGGATGGAGCCCGCAGCCCGGGCATGTGCCCTGACGGGGAATCGAACAGTGACCTCCTGGTTCACAGGTCAACCCTCAACCCCTGAGCCCCGCCGGCCAGCAGGGCTGCCATATTGTACACTTAAACGTAGGCTGTCTCGTAGCTGCTTGTACCGAAGACCTCAGAGCTGTGAGACCTTGCATGTTCTTCTCATCTTCTCGATTCTTCCCCAGGGCCTGGGACGTAGGAAGGTCGCCCCGGAAAAAAGGCAACACGTTTCGAGAAATTTCAATCTCTGGGCGTGCGACTTTGTCCCATCTTATCTGGATGGCTTTTCCAATAACCAGATATCGTACGTCTGCCCGGAAGCGGTGGTGGTCCCGCTTTTCAGGCGCTTCCCACGACAGTACAGCGAGGTCTGGGGCACTTGGAAGTTTATCCCTGAGCAGAGCTACACGGAGTTCTTGAAAAAGAAGCCGAAAGTCCGGTTCGCTATTGACAAAAAGGCCGCCTCTTCGCTGGAGCCCTTGTGCCTCCAGAAGAGCCTTGATGAGCTGAGTAAGGCGGGCATGTCACTGGGCATTCCGCCCAGCACTACCAGTTAACGCGAGGCTTGTCAGGGTTAGAGAGTGTGCGTGCCTGAACGCCAGGGCAGAGAGGCCAGTCTCCCACGGAGAGACCAGAAAGAGCCGATTCTGTGACCACACCCCGCCTACTAAGTTCTACTTTTTTTTTTTTTTAATGAGGTTGAAAAGCATTCAAGCCCTTATCCAATAAAAATATGTGAAGATATACACATTTTAAATGAATGTGTTGTAAATACATTGAATGCATTTCAAATAGGCCACATTCACGTTTAGGGGAGTTTTAAAAGTTACATAATTGAGATGTGGTTATATTTTCACTTTGAAACGTCAAACAATACAGAAAAAGTAGGCGTTCCCCTTGGTTTTAACACATCTCCGATCTTTGTCCTGTCCTCATGAGTAAGTTAACCGTTTTTATTCTGTGCCTTTACCATCTCATAGATACACGTGCAAAACTATGTAAAAATTTAACATAAGCTGTGTCGCAGAGCACACGGCACTCCATAACTTCCTTTTGATATGGAACAATGTATCTTGGGGTATTCACGGTGTCAGTGTGAACAGATTTGCTTTTTATTTTTTAAAATATATTTTTATTGATTTCAGAGAGGAAGGGAGAGGGAGAGAGATAGAAACATCAATGCTGAGAATCAGTGGTCGGCTGCCTCCTGCACGCCCCCTACTGGGGATCGAGCCCACATCCTGGGCCTGTGCCCTGACCGGGAATCGAACCATCAACTCCTGGTTCCTAGGTCGACAGTCAACCACTGAGCCACGCCGGCTGGACCGATGTGCCATACTTTTAAAATTATCTTCTTGTTAATGAGAGTTTGAATTGTTTCTAATTTTTGGCTGTCAGACCCAATACTACATGAGCCCACTTCGAATTATCTTTTAGATACTTAAGGATAGATATTTAGGGACCAAAAAAATGGTATCTTGTTATTTTTTTATTTTGCATTTCTCTGGTTATGAGTGAAGCTGAGCATCTTTTCCTGCTGGTTGGCCATTCATATTTCCCTCCTGAAACTGTCACCATCATCCTTTACCCAAAGTGTCGTGTTCATATTTGGATATTTCCCCGATAGATGAATTTTAGAATAAGCTTGTCAAGTAAATCCATTCGCCATTTCACAGGAATTTCCCCAAATTTAGATTGATTTATGGGAGAATTGATATCTTTGTGCCACGGTGCAGTTCCCCATTTATTTAAATCTTTATGTTCTTCAGTAAACTTTTATAATTTTCTTCATATACATCTGACATGTTTCTTTTCTGTGTTTATCCCTGTATATTTTGAATTTTTATGGCTATTTTGAATGTTATTTTTTTACGTTACAGTTTTAGTTTGGTTTTGCCTGATGCGTAAGAAAGATGATTTCTGTAAGTAAACCTTGTATTTTTAACCTGCTACACTTCTAATAAACAAACACACACACGATGTATTAAAATAAAGTTCGAATACTTTCTCAGTGGGTTCTCTTGGATTTTCTGTGTAGATGACTGTCACTAGCAGAAGTGAGAATTCACATCATTTCTCTCCAGGCCACATCCTCACACTCAGGGTTACGTGGCTGAACTCTGACATGGCCAGTTCTCCAGAACCCACGGTCTCTGCCCCCTGACACGGGAATGCTGTCCTTCCATTTCCTTTTCTTCTCCCAGGGTGTGCCGAGCCAGCACGGCCATGGGTGAACCTGAACTCAGGGCCCTGTTCCCCATACTCAGCCCCACGTTGGGCACCATATGCGCTGAGCCAGCACAGCCATGGGTGAACCTGAGAGGGGGCGGTGAAGAATGGAGAAGCCAGACAAGAGAAGAAAGCTGGGGCTGGGTCGGACGCTGCTCTCTGATGGAGAGACAGTGCCACGGCCTGCGAGCTGAGTCTTTATTTTATAGCAGATTCCACGCGGCAAAGTAAGGGCGTGGTCACAACGTTCTCGCGGGTTTCGAATCCACTCAGTTACAGGCACCTGATCAAGCTCTGTTTACTTGCTGCCCCTCCCGCAGCCCACATCACTCAGCCACGTGGGCCCACAGGTGCGGACCATAAGGTCAAGCTCACAGCCATAGCCTTTGGCTGTAATTGTGCTGCTGGGACTTGGTGGCTTTGCCACGAGAGGGTCGTGCCCTCTCATTAGTCCCAGGCTTGAACCTGTCCGAATGCTGTGGCCGCTCTCCACACCAGGGTGTCCTCACAACCCGCACCTGCCGAGCCTCTGTGCCTCGACTGCCCCTTCTCTACCCCAAACCCACCAACCTCCAACAAGAGTGACCCCAAATTCAATTTACTGGAGGTGAAATCTTAAAAACTACCAACAAGGTGCACAGCACCAGATCTGCAATTACGTGAAGGAGAGACGTGTGGGTGGGGAAAGACATTCCTCCCTCTACGCTTCGGGGTTAAAGAGTGGCTGGGGGGAGGGGGTATAGTGACCGTTTATAAAAACGCAAATTAGACAACTTGCCCTTAAAACCAGTCTTTTTTCACTTGTTTCTGACATAAAAAAATAAACCACACCGATCGATGGTGTCCCAGGTTTCAATCCAGTGAACCGAGAACAGAAGGACACAGCACATTCACGGTGGGGTGGGGAGGGTAGGTCTTGGGGGCTCCAGGGTTGACACCCCAAATACAATACCCCAGCTCACAAAAGGAAAGTCCTCAATAACCTGGCATAGTCAGCGACCTGCTGCTGGGGTTGGTTCTCTTACTGTGTTGCTTTGAACAGAGGACTAAACAGCCAGCTAAACAAACCCCCGCTTACTAATCCATCACATGCAGGTGTTTATCGATTTCTTCTGTTTTAAGGAATTAGACTTGGACGTGTGCCAGCCTGGAAATGACTTAGACACTGAAAGAAGGGCTGATGGCGTAGAAATAACATTTCTGAGTGATGCGCCCAGGATCATTCTAGAACAAGAGCAGGAGGCGTCAGTTCCTTACTGTGACTATGATAGGCAAGCACACAGCTACCAAAGGCTCATAGACATGATCCTTAAAAGCGCAGAGTGATGACTTCTTATATATAACCCACTCTCTTTTTAAAAACATTTTTTAGGAGGGAGCCCCTAGGAGGGAACCCCTAGGAGGGAGCCCCTAGGAGGGAGCCTCTTAGGAGAAAACCCCTGAGGGGGCCTGGATGCCCAAGGCCATTGGATGAGGCTCCGTCTGGACCCGGTACGCGTGGGGCCTCTGCTCTGGTGGGATAAGAACCCAGAGCTCCGACCTCCCAGCGCTCCAGCGCGGCTGCCCCCTGGGCCATCTCGGGGGGCCCTGGCGGACCTCCCCTCTGACGCCCCTGCCACGGCCTGACCGGCCGACACCCACCTCTCCTCCTGCAGACGCTCCAATGGCGCGGCCTTCCCACCAGACACTCCCTCTGCTCACTGCCATGGCGCACGCTCCCCTCCGGGTGGAACCTGCCTGTGACTCCCTTGGCTTATTGGGGCGTCTCCCCGGACAAACCTGGCATTTCGGAAAGACAAGCGAGCGTGCGGGACTCTTTCCGGACGCTCCCTGCCCAGGACCGCTGGGGAGCGGGCTCCAGCGCCCAGCCCAGCAGGAGCAGCCCCTCATTCCCTGCAGCTGCTCCCAGGATCTGGCGCCCACAGCGGGATAACCCTTCGCAGCCCAGAGCGCACGGCCTTGCTCGGCCGAAGGGGAAGTGCCCAGGCGACCTTGCACATTCTCCTGCGTTGATCACCGTTGGAGACCATGACTGCTGTCAGCCACCAGTGGCGTGGCCCGTCCTGCTCCACCTAACGCCGCTGCGGGTCCCACAGAGGGTGGGGAGTCCCAGCAGAGCCCCGGGAGGGATCTCAACGTTCCTCCCACGAATACCCTGTGAGGAAACCAGCACCCAACCCCTGTCCTCTCCTAGGACTTGAAAGGAAGGAGCTGAGAGTTTGCGCCTTCACTCGATCAGGATAGTCTTGGTGAGAGCAGGTACGTCCGCCAGCTGAATCTGGGCTGATTTCCGGCTCTTTCCTCCTCTAGCCCTGCCCCCCACTTCCTCTCCCCACACTGCCCCTCCCCTGGGGCCTGCTTGGGTGGGCACCTTCTGGTGGGTACCAATGTGAGTAAATGCTCGGCATGCCCAAACGCCCGTGGGCTGGCGCATCACTCCATGACTAGTTTCTAAGCCGCTGCTCTGGACATTGGGGTGCCAGGGGGAGCAGCCAGACTCATCCTCGGTCTTAGTGCGTGAGACCTGGACTGTCAGAGACCAAACGCAGCACCGTTTGCAGCCGCCAAGACGGCAAGGCAAGGATGCCGCTCAAGGGACAATACGTGGAAAGGTCATAATTATCATTTTATTAAGCTGTGATCGGGGAGATAAATGTCACAGGAATGTGTTTAATATCGGATACAGATTATATTGCAGAACAATTATGAATTTGTGTTTCTTGCGTACATTAAAATGTGGGTATGTATGTGTAAGGTTAGAAGCGGAGTAGTGTTTTATCTGCTGGAGGAGGGGTTGGTTTTGATTCTTTCTCTCCTCAAGGAAAATGAGAACAGCAAACTCTCTCCTGAAGCGTGGAGCGTGTTCTGGTCACGTGTGGACACGAGCAGCTGTTCTGGTTTCATTTATTTACTTCCTGAGCGTGGAGTGAGAGGTAAAGTGGAGAATTAATGGCGTCAGCGTGAGGGGTTCTGGGTGTGATCAGCCGGTGGAACGGGGTCTGCTGGTTCCCCACCTTCTCGTTGGGAACGTGAGGTCGGGGTGTTTGCCCTGGGAAAAGGGAGGGGCGTTCAGCCCCTGCTCAGTGGGCGCCAGCGAGGCTGGGGTGCAGCAGACAGCGTGAGGGCTGGGTGTGATCAGCCGGTGGAACGGGGTCTGCTGGTTCCCCACCTTCTCGTTGGGAACGTGAGGTCGGGGTGTTTGCCCCCCTAAAAGGGAGGGGCGTTCAGCCCCTGCTCAGTGGGCGCCAGCGAGGCTGGGGTGCAGCAGAGGC